TAGACCAGGCAGGATCCCTGTTTGCAGCCAGACAGGCCAAGGGAGCATGGGGAGGGGCCATACTTAGGTGGGTCACTGTCCTCAGACAGAAAAGCCTGAAGGAGATTCAGATCATGGCCAGCCCAGGGGCCGTCACAGCAAACTCCAGGAGAAGGAAATGTACGTTTGGGGGTCCCGCTGTCCATCCTTCAGAGATCTCGCCACTTCCCCTCAGCGCCTAGGCCCAGACGCCCTGTTGCACCACCTTACGTTACAGAACCCTATTTCCCCAACTGCGTCAGGAATTACCAGACCTCTGCGATGCTGCGATACGGATCGCTGTTCTGTAGTAAAGTACTCCCGGGCCCGTGTTCCTCGGGAGCTGTGGACTGCGCTGCATCCCCTGATGGGGATGTGCAGTGTCCATGGGCTGGAAACCCCAGGAAGCCCTGCTCCACTCCTCCACCTCGCCTCCATTCTCACCTGCTTTGTTCTCTCCATCTTCCTCTCTCCTTCCCCATCCTCCTCCTCACCTTCCTCTTTGTCCTCCTCATCCTCTCCACGGAGGGATCAGGATGCAGAGGGAGGCCACGTAACATGATTACACAGGCAGGACAGACCTGTTGTTCTGTCCTCTTTGACCTCTCCGCTCCTTGGTCTTCGGATGTTGGCTGTCGTCTCGCCTGTGCCTCTGGTCCCACCTAACTCTCTATCTGTTTAAGACATTTCAAAGTTTGAAAGTGGAGAAGTACAAGTGGTTCTGTCTGGCCACAGGCACATGCCCGCATCTGATGCTGATGTCTGTGGTTGCTGCTGTGGCTCCCAGTGAGGAGAGTTGCACACTCGGGGCCTTCCTCTCCCCTGGCCCAGGCCTCGTCGTGTTGGCCAGTTCTCTCAACACCACTGTGCAGCCTTTCTGGAGTCTACAGCTGGGACTCGTCCATGCTACACATAAGCCACAAGCAACGTAGTGCCACTGCATCAGGACCTCTCTTTCCACATGCCAAGCTGTCACTTCTGACCTCCTCTCGCACCCTGCTCTTGGTGTGTGGCACTGAGGGCAGGTCTCCCTCCCAGGGCTCCAGGCAGGATACGGGCCTTTCTGCTCTCAGACTCCCATCCTGTCTTGAACCATTATTGATACTTCCTGTCCCAATATTCTCCCCTTCCTATACAAGCCTCCAAGACTTCGCCTTTTCTCTCCAGTGTCACTGCATATAGTTATGCGTGTATGGGTGTGTCTGGGCAGAAGCTCCGGAAGGCCATGGTGGCTGAAGTGGGAGGGGTATTGGAGCTGCGGAGCCACCAGGTACATGGGTGCAGGCCAGTGGCTTGAGTGGGGCTTGAGGGCCCAAAGCAGCTTCTGGGAGCTGTGCCAGAGGAAGGGGACAGGTGTCCAGTGGGAAGGATAGGAAGGGGCAGTATGCATACCACTGAGCTTTCCAGGGACTACGGAAGCAAATTCTCTGATTAACATATTTCAAAATTTGAAAGTGGAAAGGAAAATATAATTAGTAATCATGAGGAAGACTGAAGACAGAACACTGTACTGAGGCTGGTGCATTCTCATGGGGGTATAGACTAACATTTCTGAAACCACTTTAGTGTACACTGGGTTGAACACAAGAATTAATGGATGGCGGGGGCAGGAGCCAAGTGTCTCACTGTGGGTGAGGACAGTTAGTCAAGCAGGAAGGGTCAGCTACAATGACCCTTTTACTAATAGAGTAGAGCTGGACACACCAGTATAAACTCATGTTTATCTTATATGTCCACACAAATGGACAGATGTAGAAGTATTTATACACAAGTGTGTATATAAGGTGTATTAGTTTCCTGTTGCTGCTGTAACAAATCACCACACATTTAGTGAATTAAAACAACATTTTTTTTTCTCTTGGAGTTCTGGAAGGTAGAAATCTAAGATCAAGTTTTTGGTTGGGCTACATTCCTTCTGGAGGCTTCAGGGGACTGTTCATTTCCTTGCTGTTCCCAGCCTCCAGAGCCAGCCTGCATGCCTTGGTTCCTGACCTCTTCCTGGCATCACTCCAACTTATTGTTTCCATAGTAGCATCTCCTACTGTTCACTCAGATCCTCCTGCCTCGCTCTTAAAAGGATGTGTGTTGAGTTCAGGGATTTGGGGGCTGATCGAGCAGGAGACAGTACCATGGAAGGCAGTAGCACACAGGCTGTATCTGGGCAATATTTGGACGGGGATGTATGAAAGGGGAAGTCCCTCCTAGCAAGAGAACTTCCAGGGACAGAAGCATGGGGCCACCACCAAGAAGGGGAAAAGGGCATAGGAATTCCCGAGGAAGACGGGGAAACAGGACAGGGAGCTTATTTGACAAGGTGATGTCAGTCAGATTCAAGGTGAGCAGTCTCTGGGTCAGAGAGCTCTCAAGGGCAGCAGTTGTTTGGGGTCTCTTATAGCTATAGAGCTTGTCTTATCTATGGTGGGTAGATGTTAGGGGAAGTTCTATGGGGTATGTAAACTGGTTCTAAATGTCTTCAAATATGTTTTTTGTACTATATTTGAAGTTACTGGATGTATGACAATTTGAGTTTGGCACCAGTGGTGTTTGAGCTAATAGTCCTATCCTGCTGTGAAGAATTAAGAACTTGGGGACCATTTCTAGGGCAATACACAGGTGCATTTCTGGCCCATTTCTATAACAGGACTCTTGTGATTACATTAGACCCACCATCATTATCCATGATAATCTGGCCATTCCAAGATTTTTCACTTTTTTTGTGAAAATTATAAAACTTTATTAAAATATATTTAAAAAGCCTAAATGGAGATCTATACCATGTTTATGGACTGGAAGACAACATTGTAAATATGACATGCTTCACCAAATTAATTTATAAATTTATAAATATATATAAATTTATAAATAATTTATAAATTAATTTAACACAAATACAATAAAAATTCCAACAAGTTTTTTGGTTTCTTTGTTTTAGAACTTGTCAGTGTAATCCTAAAAATTGTATGGAAGAGCAAATGGCTAAGAATAACCAAGACACTCCCAAGGGGAAAAAAAAACAGTGATAATGTTGGAGGTAGAGGTGAGATTGGTCAACACTATCACAAAATGTGTAGGCATCTCATTTTTATCAAGATCTTTCTCTAAAGTAGTAATCAGGACTGCATAGTAGTTCCACAAGATTAGACAAATTAACAAGTGAGTCAGCATAGAAACCATCAACAGACCCGCACATAAAAAATCTTAATTTATGAAATAGCCAGTGGTACAGATCAGTGGGAAAAGGTTGATCTTTTCAGTAAATATTGCTGAGACAATCACTTATCCATATGGAAAAAATATTAAATTGAACTTATACCTTACACTTTTCATAAAAATCAGTTCCGGTCAGACTCAAGACAAATGTGAAAAGCAAAACTACAAAACTTTTACAATGCGGTAAAGAACATCTTTATGACTTTGGATAGGAAATGATCTCCCCAAACCAAACTGTAGTCAGCTTTATAAGATACTTTTCAAAAACAGTTACATCCTGCAGGACAAGGGACAACCTATAACATTTTATAACTTCCAAACTGCCCTCCCACGAAAGTCACTGTAAAAGTCAACAGTGTCTTTTGTTGCTGCTTTGAACAGGAAAAGTTTTCAGAGCTGGTGGACAGTTCAAATGAGGCATATATAAGCTTTTCACAGGCCAACCCTGACATGGAGGAAACAAACTAAAACCTTCAGGGTTCTCAACAGGATGAATCCACAAACTAAAAATAGGAATGTTGGCTCTTTTGAGTGACATCTCAATGTCATCACCAGAGAACCTGAGTTTTGTTACCTAACACAGTTGATTTCAGGGGTGGCAAGGACAAGTCTATGCTGATGGCATCACGGAAGGAGAAGACATGAAGTTTAGCTTCCCTACACTGTAAGGCTTCTGTGCCAAAGTGGCTAACGCGTGAATGTCAGAGAACTTCTCCTGGGAACAAGAACAATCTTCAAAAACAAACACAGAAAGTCCTATTTTCCCCCATTTCAATTCAGTTTCTGAAACGCACTCTATTAGTGGTAGTTGCCCTTTCCACAAAAAACAACAAAGTGCCCTGTGCACTAACAAGATAACTTTAAAAAAATCCAAATCCTACATTTTTATAAAACTTGACTAAAATAATAGCATTTCAAACACTAGAATCACTAGAAGTAGAGAGCTATTAAAAACGTACATTCACTTGGCATCCCCAGTGCCTTCCACATTCTTGGACTGGACTGTAGAGGCATCTTGGTTTCTTGCAGGGTTGTTCCCATCCTTGCCAGCACCTGCTTTTCCCTTTCTTCCTTTGGGCAGCTTCTCTCCCTTGTTTGCAGGGGCCTTTTTAGGCCTGGGCTCTGGTTTTGCAGGGGCAGGTTTAGCAGACAACCGTGCTGATCTCTGTGGTTCATCCCTCATCTTGGCTTTATCATCTTTAGCATCTCCTTTGTGCCTTTCTCTTGGGCATGGTGGCTGTAGTGCTTGGCAGGTGGCTTTGCCAGTCCAAGGAGGGCTTGTGCTACTCACACTGCTCCTGGAAAGATTTCTTTAAGAAGCTAATCAGGAGACCAGGTGGCTGACTCTTTAGAGACTCGAGTCTCACGGCCATCTGAGGGGTGCTGGAATCCCAGCTGCGGCTCTGGCTGCATTGCTGCACTTGGCTTGGGAAGGGCCCACACAGACGCTGGGATAGTGGGAGAATATTCTTAACTTAACCATATGTTCAAAGTCCCTTTTACCATGTAGAGTAACAGACTCACATGTTATAGAGATTGCAAAGCAGATATCTCTGGGGGATCACTATTCAGGCCATCACATGTGATTCCGTGTGCACAGATATAATTCCTCACTCTGTCAGCTGAGAAAGCCTATAAGTGATGATATTCTGGGAGCAATGAGCAGCCCTAGAGCCCCGATGTTGGCTTCTAATATCATTCTCCAATAAAAGGAACCAGGGTTCCTTGGAGAAATGACTTATTCTGAGGAGGCAGGGATTGTACAAGATGGGCCTAGAGCACCTTGTAGTGCCAGTAAACACCCCCGCCCCAAACATACACACAAAATGATGGGAGTATGCCAAAGGGCACAGGAACACACTGAAGGAGCTCCCAATGGCTAAAGCTGAAATAATTTGAGCAACAGAATGAATGAAGTAGTATTGGATTGTAACCCAAACTAACAAAATAAATATCCATGAGTCCATACTTATATATAAAAAATGATCAGATATACAAATAAATAGAGAGAAGAGACAAATCAACTGTGTAGAATAATTCAAAATTTTGGGAGATATTCTACCCTAAGGAAGGTAGACAGTAACTGTCCCCTCCTTAAGTGTGTGCTGTGCATGGTAACCTCCTTGCAAAGAGTAGGGGGAAAAGAGCAACTTTACAGTTGAGAAGTGTGATAAACACTACCTGAGCCAGGTGATCAAGGTTAAGATGAACTGTGACCTCCTGTTGATCATATGCTTCCTTGATGCAGTGAGATGAGAATGGCAACTTACTTTGTTGATCTTCCTCTCAGAACCCTATAATGATCTTCCTCTCAGAACCCTATAATGATCTTCCTCTCAGAACCCTATAACCCCATTCTGATCATGAGAAAATCAACCAGCAAATGCCAATGGAGGGACATTCTACAAAATACCTGACCAGCACTCCCCAAAACTTTCAAGTGTCCTCAGAAATGAGGTAAGTCTGAGAAACTATCACAGCCAAGAGGACATGTCTATGAAATATAATGTGACATCCTGGACGTGATCCTGGTACAGAACAAAGACATTAGGTAATAAAGAAGGAAATCTGAATAAAGTATGGACTTCAGGTAATAATAATGTATTAATCAATATTGGTTCATTAATTGTGATAAATGCACCATACTAATGCATGATGAATAGGGGGAAACTGGCTGTGATATATTAGGGACCTCTCTGGACTTTCTTTACAACTTTTCTCTAAACTTAAATCTACTCTAAAATAAGATGTTTATACAACACACACACAAATAACCAACAAGAAGATCACTCCACAATCAGGTCTGAACACAGACAAAGCAAGAACATTGCCCAAGCCACAAAAGTCACCAAACATCTGCCATCCTGGCTAATGTGAGTTACTATTCCTGTGTACCAAATACAGCTTTAATCTCTTTCTAAGTCTTCACTCTCTTCACTCCTCCTTGATAAAATTTACTAACATATGCCATCATAAAATGACCTCCACTTCCTGATGGCATCCATCCAGAGCCAAGCCCTACTTCATTAAACCCTCCCCCGAATCACCCAGCTTAAGCCCAAATCCTATGAGTCTTTCCTGACACCCTCTTCCTTAGGGGCCCCATGTTTCCCTCATGGTGTGCAGTCTCCTTTTCTTCATTGAGTAATAAATTCATCATTAATAAATTCAACTCAACAAGTTCAGCTTGTTTAACCACAGGTGTGTTCCTGGTGGTTTGGGCTACAGAGTCTTGACAAGATTAAGAAGACTGCTCGAGTTTCTTGAAGAATGTTCTTCCCTCTCTGGAGACCTGTTCACCCTTCATAATGCCGCCACACCTCAGGGGGTCTGTTCCACCCATAGTCCTGGACCTATTTCCCAATTACCTTTATTCTTGGAGCATCAACCTTGCTCCCACCTCCAACTTTGCCTTCTCACAAACTGTTCTAGAAAAGGCGTCTAGCATGGTATCCAACCCCACGTGTTCTGCTGTAGAAAACTGCTCTCTGCTGTCCCAGCTCATTCAAGTTCACAGGAAGCTTGGAGGGTTTCCTGTGCATGGGCAAGCTCCACTGACAAAACGATTGGCAGTACCAGTGGTTTGAGAAGGCATTTTGGTGTTGGATCTCCCCTGTGGGCATGTAATTATGCAGCTATTTTTCCAGAATTCCAGAAAAGGCCTTTGAAGTGGAGGAAGTACTCCCACTGTTCAATGCCTGAGATGTTACACCTAGAGAACAACCTGTTCTAACTGAAGCTTCTGATCTACGTGCAAATGTCCACAGACCGAGGAGGATTCCCACTCAACTACACTTTAGCACTCATGAAGGATCTGAGGGTGGGTTTGGTATCAGAGAGTAGGGAAAAGCAGGGTCCTGAGCCCACAGGTAGGGGCAGGAGGGAAGTAGATCCTTAGGAGCGAGGGGGTGGGGATCAGGGTGAGTTGATGGAGATCAATGTGTGACTTTCCTGTGTTGCACAGGGTCCATCTGGCCCTGAAGTGTTGATGTGTAAGTATGAATGCTTCCTCCTTTTCTTGTCACTTTATGTCTGGTATCAAGGGGCAGGAGGATGAAAAAGGTGCAGCTGTTTAACATCCAGTTCAGGTTCCTTCTTCTGTTTCTTTGTTTGACAGGGCCGATTTTTTGATCATTAATTTTGTTCATTTGTAGTATTAAATATTTGCTGCATAAAGATTGGGCACAAATACCACATTAGTGTATTATTGGCGTCTCTCTTTTCATATCCTGCATGTTGATTGTAAAACCATCTAGAGAGACTGATAGCTGTCATATATTACAGTTTTTCAACTTCAAATTAATTTCATAATAGTACTAAAGCCAGAGAGGCTATGCTCCAAGAAGTATCTCTAGGTAGGTAATATTCTTTTTCTTTGAAACCCTGGGTCTGGTTGTTTTATTTATTGGATAACCTATCTAGACTTCACTTCCTTATGATCCATTCCCTGCTTCAGTAATTACCACCACCTCTGAGCTGCCAAAGCCCCCCAGGTAGATTGAATGCCTCTCTGCACACGCCTCCAGGGCGAGCTGCACACGCATAGTGTGAGCGGGGACTGTGTGTGAGATGGGAAATCCGTGTCTCCGCAAGTCCCACTTCGCATTCAGAGCTCTGGCTTGAGTTGCTGGGCCTGTGTAGACACAGCCTAAACCAATGACCACATGAAGGAGCAAGCCAAGGTGCTGTCCAATGACTACAGGGGCATTAGTTCAGCCCATCTAAGACCATCCCCTCCCTCTCTCCCACAGCCCGAGCTCCCCGACCTGAAGTGGATGGGCAAGAGCACTCTGTCCTTCTTGTCTCACGCTTGGGGGAAGACAGTGTGAAGAAAGGGACGTGGCACCCTCCTGTCTCACCTGTGGGTCTCAGGATCCCTCTAGCTGACACAGTGTTAGAAGGATCAAAAATAGATCCCATTCTTCCAACCCTTTTCTCTAGAGCTGTGCTGTCCAATGCGGTGGACACCAGCCACATGTGGCCGTTTAAAGGTAACTTAAGGTCACATTGAATAAAACTTACTTAACATTAAGTTGGATTAAAATTTAGTTCCTCAGTCACACTAGTCACGTTTCAGGTGCTCAGTAGCTACATGCAGCTAGTAGCTATTGCACTGGAGAACATTACAATGATCACTCTACCAGTCTGAATTTCTGGCTGTTGCATTCACAGTCAGTGATTCTATGTGTAGATATAATAATCTGGCAACTTCATGATGCCTTCTGGTACAGTCAAACCCAAACATGTATATGTTAAAATTCATATCAGAGTATAACATTATAAATTACTATTTATCCTTTTCACTTTATATTTTTTCTAGACTTTACTTCACTGAAGGTTGGCAAACATTTTCTGTAAATAGTCAGATAATAATGTTTTAGACTTTGTGGGCCATGTTCACTCTATCAGTAGTTCCTATTCTTTTTTATTTGTAAACAATGTTTCAGTCAAGTTAAACTCATGAGGTGTGCAAAAACAGGCCATGGGCAGATTCGGCCTGTGGGCCATAGAGCAATATAGTGATGCTTTTGTTTGATGAATACAGGTGGGTTATGTTATCCTTCTTTTCTTTTTTTGTTTTTTTTTTGTTTTGTTTTGAGACAGAGTCTCACTGTCTTGCCTGGGCTACAGTGCTGTGGCATCAGCCTAGCTCACAGCAACCTCAAACTCCTGGGCTCAAGCAATCCTTCTGTCTCAGCCTTCCAGGTAGCTGGGACTACAGGCATATGCCACCATGCCAGGCTAATTTTATACATATATATATTTTTAGTTGTCCAGCTAATTTCTTTCTATTTTTAGTAGAGACAGGGTCTTGCTCTAGCTCAGGCTGATGTTGAACTCCTGAGAAATGATCCTCCTGCCTTGGCCTCCCAGAGAGCTAGGATTACAGGCATGAGCCACCAAGCCTGGCATGTTATCTTTCAATTTCATTGAAGAATAGTACCGGGTACATTATATACTCTTTATTATAGAAGGGGAACTGTGTCTTACAGGGATAGAAGCAACTGACCCATGTGCTGTTTCCAGCAGAGGAGAAAAATGAAAGGGACTGTGGGGAAATCCTAGGGCTGGGGAACCGCACAGAGACAAAATGTCTGGTCCAGTCCTAGCTGCCTCAGCTATTTCCTTGGGGCTAATTACAAAGATCCTGAACTCTTATCTTACCTGTAGCTCTGGTATCTCAAGGTCTCTCTATAAGTCTTCTATCAGTGACACAACTCTTTTTCTATTCTCTGGGCAGTGTTCCCTCACCCAGGTCTCTATCTCCATGGGCAGGATAGTTAGGAATTACTCCAATACCAGCAGCTCTAGGATTTGTTCCCTAGAGTGCACCTTTGGCTTCAGACATTGACAGCAAAATTCCCAGAGTTTGTTGAAAACCTCATGTGGTCTGGCTGCTTCTCTGTACGGGA